TAAAAGCAATCAAACGAAAGAAAATTTAAATTAATTCAATAATAAGCAAACTCCACCCAAAGAGAAAACTTTAAAAGTGGTTTATACAACTGTTCATTAATGCAATAATAATCTTATTTATTTGTTAATAAATAGGTTATAATTACCAAACACGCAATAATAATAAGCTTTTCCTTACCGTATGATAGTTAAAGTATATCTGTTAACTATTTCTCTAATCAAAAAACAACTCTAAGTACGCCCGTAAAATTTTATTTCTTGATTGCATTAAAAATTAGAAAAATACACTATTAAGATTTATTAAATACATTATTAGAAAAATACACTATTAGAAAAATGCTATTCTAATCAATAAATACACTATTAAGATTTATTTAAATTAGACCATATGTCTCCTTAATATGAAACCAATCATACTAGTCGTCACTAATTTAAAACAATTAAACAAGTACAAATTTAACTGTCATAACTGGCATTAGATTGTTAGGTTGAATTAAATATCAGGAGTCCATCATAATATTCAAACAACAAAATAACCACGAGAAATTAAACAAAAAAACATAAAAATGTTAACGAATAAAAGAAATTAATAAAAACAATTAGATTTCACAGTTGTAGTTACAACTGAATCAAATTCTTTGTTTTTCCTTGATTAGAAAATAAAATTTAGCTACTCCCCATTGAAAGTAAACCACAAAATTTCATTGATTAATATAACCTCCATGGTCGACAATAGGCAAACAAAAGAAAAAGACAAGTGATGAGACGGCCGCCTCCCGTTTACTTCTCCTGGTGCCGAGACTGTCCGTTAGCCAAAAACTCTCGGACAAAACAAAAGTCATTGCCCTTCCAAAATACTAATGGTCAACTGTGCCCCCCTTCTATTTTGTAGCTTTCTAAGTAAAATATACTTCCTAATTTATCTCAGAAAAAGAAATCCCCAGATTGATAACAGATAATTTAAATCGTTTCCCAATATAATTTGAAAACATGTTTCGTAGGTCTTTAATTTGAACTGAAAAATCGTCACGCGTGTAAATCTCAGTGGTTTCAGACTTGCAAGCTAACTTTAGACGTGAACATACGGAACGGGTTAAAAATGTTTTTTAAACCACTTTGTACTTCTTTTCTTGTCAAATTCTTACAATCAGTATCAATTGCCAAATATGAATAGAATCCGTTCAATAATGCAATATTTGACAAATATTGAGGGAAAATATTCACAAATTTAACCCATTTGTGCATCTGATCAATTTTTCTCACATTTAAGTCATGTTTGTTCTCAAGTATGAAAACAACTAATCAAAATTGAATTGAAACAACTATCGTCCCAAATCACTTATCGTCAAAATATAATTAAACACACGGCAAGTATTAGTGGCTAATTTCTAAGAAATATCTCTTCGATTGACTTTTAAAATCAATGACTCTTTCAATTTTTGATTAACTAATCTAAAAATATAAAATATTCAATCAGTATTCGTCAGCAAGTAGTTCGACTATTAAACAAAATCTCAATATTAAAATTCATAGATCATCAAGTTAACATAATAATTCACACACTTCCACAATTTTCACTATTAGCATACCTTTTTCTTTTCTTTTGTTTTTAAATGCTCCCCACATTTGAGTCTTTTTTTCAAATTTTAAATATTCACCAGTGAGACACGTTTAGATCTTACCACATCATACTTAACATATTAGCACATAAAAATTTAACAATAGTCAAATTTGAGAATCTAACTCTCATTTGTCAAGAATAATCACAAAAATGCACAAGAAGTGGTAAAAATTGAATAAAATTTAAAATATTAAATAAAAATTTTCAACAAAAATGCCTACACTTACACTTTTTTTAATATACTATCCTCCATATCTAAATCTTACTTTGTTCTCAATATAAGAAATAAAGAACAAAATAAAAAAAAGGGACAACGAAACTTTTTTGAACATGGAGGAGGATATCGCACTGCTAAGAATGTGGAGCACAAGTGGGGGTGAAACCAATAGAATAAAAGTAGTCACCAAATTCTTAAATCATTTTAGACGCGGACATACCTAAAACATCACACGGGATCCTCAGTGCCACTTTTCCAGTGACAATTCAGTGCCACTTCTATATTTATGCCAAGTGTCCTATTTATTTTATTTGTCATGTATTGTTTATTTAAATTTCTTCTACCATCACGTGATAAATGGGATTGACACTGGATTTGATACCGAGTAGTGGCATAGAGGATCCCAACTGCTAAAACATATGGAGTCTTCTAGTCAAAAATTTTTAACTCGCCAATTTCAGCGCGACTCATAGACGTAAGCATGCCTTATCAATTAGTAGTCTTATGAAATTTTTAAACTTGTCAGCTAGGGCTGTCAACGGGCCGGGTCCGGCCCGGAATTCATTTTTCCGGACCCGGATCCGACCCGTTTACCCGACGGGTCTTTTATTCTATGTTCCGGATCCGGATCCGGATCCGAGTCGGGTCTACCCGAACAAATTTAGCAAAATTTATAATTTTTAATAAAAATGAGAAAAAAATATATTTGTAAACTAATTTCTAACTAATGCAAAGAAAAAATCAAATAAGAAAAGAAATCAAATTGACTTTACTCAAATACATCACCCTAATCAAATTATATTGATAAATATATTTTTTAAATTATTAATTCATTTATATCCGGATCCGGGTCTAATACGGGTCGGAATACTATATTCCGTATCCGACCCGTTTTTTTTGTTTGACAAAACGGATCCGGGAAACGGAATTAAATCCCTACCCATACTCGCAATAATTTCACGGATCCGGGTCTAGACCCGACCCGTTGACAGGCCTATTGTCAGCTACTTAAATTAAAATTTGATGGGCGTTATAAAAACAATGCCAAAATTTGATGGGTGTCAAACCATTAAAAATAAAATTTCTATTCTAAAAACTTAAATTCAAGTAAAGCGGTGAGTAGTGTTATCTTCTCAAGAACTAGATGATTTATTTCTTTTCAAACAAGAATTAAGTAGGAATTTTGAAAAATTAAAATAAAAAATCAATTTAACTAAAAGCAATCAAATGAAAAAAAATTAAATTAATTCAATAATAATCAAACTCTAGCCAAGGAAAAAACTCTGGAAGTGGTTCATACAACTGCTCATTAATACAATAATAATCTTATTTATTTGTTAATATATAGGTTATAACTACCAACCATGCGATGACAATCACTTTTCCTTATCGCATTGATAGTTAAGGTACGCTTATAGAATTTAATTTTTTGATTGTATTAAAAATTAGAAAAATTCTGTTCTAATCAATAAACACACTATCAAGATTTATTTAAATTAGACCATATGTCTCCTTAACATGAAATCAATTGTGCTTGTCACTGCTAATTTAAAACAATTAAATAAGTACGGATTTAACTGTTTTAACTGGCATTAGATTGTTAGATTGAATTAAATATTGAGCGCCCATGCTATTCAAATAATAAAACAATCATAAGAAATTAAACCAATAAACATACAAATACTAACAAATAAAAGAAATTAATAAAAATAATTAGATCTCACAGTTGTACCTAAATCAAATTCTTCGTTATTCCTTGACTAGAAAAGAAAATTTAGTTACTGTCCGTTGAGAGCAAACCAAAAAATTTCACTGATTAAGATAACCTCCACATTCAACAATAGGCAAACAAAAGAAGAAAACAAGTGAAGAGACGGCCACCTCCCGTTTTCTTCTCCTAGTGTCGAGACTAGTAGTTAGCCAAAAACTCCTAGACAAAACAAAGTTGTTGCCTTTCTGAAGTAGTAATAGTCAGCCGCGTCTCCCTCCTATTCGGCAGTATACTTCCTAATTTCCCTCGGAAAAGGATATCCCAAATTGACAAAAGATAATTTAAATCGTTTCTCAATTCAATTTGGAAACAAGTTTCGTAGGTCTTCAAATTGAACTGGAAAACCGCCACGCACATAGATCTCGACTTTTTCAACTTGCAGACTAGCTTTAGACGCGACCACACGAACGGGCTAATATCATCTCTAAACTCCTTTGTTTTTCCTTTCAAATTCATCCCAAAAAGGTATCATATTTGAAAATCTAGCTGAACTTTATGAGAAAAGTTGAAGAGGAAAAATTTTCTATGTTGATTATTTAACGTGAAAGAGTAAATGCCCATATTTATAGGTATTCAGGTACAAGGAATTTAAACAGTGCAATGAATTAGATAATGTAATGAACTAAATACTGCATCACAGGAACTAATAGAGGTATAGTACATCTAGGCAATCCAATGAATTTAGACACTACAATATAGAAGATTAGATAATTGAGATACAAATAAACTTGGGCAATTCAAAGAATTTAGACACTATTAACTAAGTACTAATCAAGAAGAAAAGTCAATAAATGGAAATCGAGAGAGTTCTAAAACTTGGTGCAAACGTGGGTGAGCACGCAAGGCCTTTACAAATTACAAAACAAACAATTTAGAAGTCCAGCTTTTAAGATGGTACTTGAGCTGCACCGTATCATGCCAATGGTCTAATTCAAGTATAATGTAAGCAACTGACGTTAATATCCCCAAAAGGAATGAACCAAAGCAACAAAATTGCAGAAGTTGAATTGAGTTGGAGTTCTTTGTAGGGTTTTCTTTTACGACAACCAGGAACATGGACATGTCTGAAAACGCAGTTAAGAGGGAGGTGATATTTTCTCACAGCGTAGTTTGATTAAGGGGAATTTGGTTTTCCAAGATACAGATTTTGACGGTTTGTAATTGACTAATTGTTGTTGGACAAATACGTAGTTAATACATGCATGCGGTTGATAAGGACTGCTCCTACATCTATGGAACTTCTATCGGGGAAATTAAATGGTTGTGGATGGCAAATCTGCACGTCAGGAAGCCAAGATATAACGCTTTACCCTTGCCCTGAGTGCGACTGAAGTTACATATATGGTAAAAAGATGGTCGTATAAAAGCAAGAGGGGTGGCGTGGGACAAATGTGAAGCATAGAAAGTTCATCCATTTCAAGTGCTTATTCTAGTGTGGTACGTGTAGCAGTACTATAGTATGCGTAACACTGACGGACTAAGAAAAGGTGCATGGACTGAAGAAGAAGACATCCTTTTAAGAAAGTGCATGGAGAAGTATGGTGAAGGAAAGTGGCATCAAGTTCCAGTTCGGGCAGGTAATTCAACACTCCCTACAGCCTTGTAGTATTCGAATCTATTTGTTTCCATCTCTGCTGCATTAGAGATACAGAGGCGGATATACACATGCATCCTCAGGGATACAGTAAAACCTATTTACTAGGGCGAAGGAGTAAGTATGGTGAGAATCGAACTCGTGAAAAAAAGGTTTTAACATCTGAAATTTATCGTTTTGTTTCGACAGGGTTAAATAGGTGCCGCAAAAGTTGTAGACTACGGTGGCTCAACTATCTCAGGCCAGATATAAAGCGAGGAGACTTCGCTTCTGATGAAGTCGATCTTCTCATCAGGCTTCAAAAGCTGTTGGGCAACAGGCCAGTTCTTTTTTCTTTTTCTTTTTTTTTTTTGGTATTTTAAGCAGTAGTGTTTCACTTTTTTTTCCCCTTTTCTATAATTAGAATAATGAAGTTGAAGGATTCGCTCGTCCCAGAAAGCTATACAAATCTTCAAAAGAATTGCCATACGTACCTAGTATTTTGATATACATGATTTTAAAAAGATTTTATGAAACAAGTAGACTTTGCATGCAAATTTTGGTCAACATGGTACGTTGGTTAGAACAGAAGCACTTTTTTTTTTGGATAGAGTATCATTTGAAAAAATTATTGTAATATTTTTGTGATGTAAAATATGTGAGATAAAAAATGATTAGAATTATAAAAAGATGAATTCGAAAATATATTTATGATGCAACAAGGTATGTTAGTCAGAACTGAAGCACTATTACTTATTAAATTTTTAAAATGATATATACTTGACTAGTCAACCTTGAACACTATAAAATTTTGCCACTCAACTCGCAAACGTATATATTTCCGGTCATTTCGTTTGTTTTTACCGTCAAATCTACTACATCTAAAGACTTGTATCAATCAGCAAACATAATTGAGAGGTATTTGACAGTAAAAATGAATAGAATAACCTAATATATATGAGTTTTTTGCTAAAATAATACTCTTTCTAACAAATATTCTCAATATGATTCACTTTCAAACTTTATTCCCATAATGATGTTATTATTGCCACCTTATTATCCTGATTGCCACGTAGGATAACAAGAAAGGAAAGTTTTGATTAGTTTATAGTTTCCAATATGAGTTAAAATTTTTAATTTTTTTTAATCATAGAGACACAATAAGATTGCATAACTTTGATAATTTTCTTATAATTATTTAAAATAAATTCTACCATTATTGACCTTACTATGATTGGTCTCTACATTTTTCTTGAAATGAATCAAACTATTGCATATATTTTTTCAAAAATTAAATTTGAAAAATTCAAAAATTGCAACAAAAATTGTAAGCAATAACAAGAAAAAGTTACAAAAACTTCAAGGTTATCATATTTGTTTATATTATCCTTCTTACTCTTTGAAAAAAGCTTTTACAAGATGTAATAAAACTGAAATTTTCAAGTTTTCAATTGCAAACTAAAAACTGCTATATTATTTTCTCCTAGACATTTTATCAAACACACGGTGTGAGAAATCATTTGTTATACAATTAATATTAAAATTTTTTTGAACGCCATAACAATGTTTCAAAAATTGCACAATAGAAAAGATAAGAGAATAATCTTTGTTTACCTTGATATTATCAAGGATGATAATGAATTTTTATATACTGTTAATATAAATATTGACTTCTCAAAATTACATTTGACAAGGAAAAGACAATGAAAGGAAAAAATACACGAGAGAGAGAATCAGGAAAGATATTAAATGAAAAAAAGAAATAAAGTGTGCCTCTATCTCTGTCCAGACACATGTGCAACCTATATGGCAAAAAAAAGATTATAAAGGTAATAAATTTTAAAATTAGGTTACTTTGGGTATATTTTTTAGAAGGAGAGTTATTTTGGCAATAAACTCTAATATATATACACGTTTGGGAGTTGAATGGTTAATTTCTAGCCTTAAAATAGTTGAGTAAATAAAACTATACCATTTCAAAAGTACAGTGGATAACTGGTAATGTGCTCTAATTTCTATGTGTGTTTATTGAGTAACTCTTGTTTAAGGGAAACGACGATCAGTGCTTTTTGATCGTTGCATCCAGTAGTTGTTTTCAAGTATTGATCTTTTAAGTAACTAGGCACCTCAGTTCGCTAATTGCAAGAATGATTGAGGTTAGAAGAATTAATAGCAGCAGTTACCTTTATTACGACATCGACTTTGCTTTGACTTTTATCGGCCGTATGCTTCTTATAATTTCTATAGATGGTCACTAATTGCCGGTAGACTTCCTGGAAGAACTGCAAATGATGTGAAAAATTACTGGAACACCCATTTAATAAAGAAGATGGCTTTCAGAAGACAACCAGATGAAAAGGGCCAGGCCGGTAACACAAACTACACCACAAAACCTAGGGCAAGCAACATAGTGAAGCCTCGTCCTTGGACCTTCTCCAAAAATGCATCTTGGTTGAGGGGAAAAGCAACAACAACGACGACAACGACAGCATCAAGCAGCACAGAAATTCCTACTATACGGACAACAACGAATGCTCAGGGTCTCAAGGATTCACCTCCGACTTCACACCCAACAATAGAGAAGGATGATGACAACAACATGCAGTGGTGGGACAACTTGTTTCTTGACGAAGAGGGAGGTGAAGGAACCCCGTTGGGATTTGATGCCTCGGGGGAGGACAACGTAACTAGTTTATGGTTCGAAGAATTGTCCCAGATGGTATTTAAGGAGGGTGATATTTGGACGCAGGAAAATCAAAATGGCTCGGGTTACAGCTCTACTGATGCAGACTTGTGGGATTTTCAAATTTCTGATCACCAAACCATGCAATAGATTATTGCAGTACTGATCTTTTGCTGTCGAATGTGTTTTATACCATTTATTGGATGCATGATTACGTAGCTACGAATAATGTTAGATCTAAGGTTTGTATTAGTATATGTACCGATGCCAATGATTCAGTGTTGTGTACTACTTCCTGCTGGGAACTAGATATCTTTCTCATTTATTTTGACAAATAAATTAGTGGAAAATTACCAAAATGTGAATGCTTAATTCTCATCATTTGCACTGAATCATTGGTAATTACTCGTGTCCGACTACTAAACTAGAATACGGTGTTCCTGCTTTATAGCAACGATGTGAATTTTTTGTAGGCTGAATTTATAAACGGAAAAGAACTATTCGATCCCGCTTCTTCAAGAGGATAAAACAACGAAACAGATACGAGGACACGGGTAAATGTGTAGGAATGTGATAACTCTTTTAATAGGTAATTTAATAGTGAAGGAAGTGTTTGTGAAATTAAATGTTTGGTGGAAGCTTAAAGTCACTTTCTTTTTTCAATAAATAAGAATATTTTATTGTGATTAGATTAGATTAGTAAGAAATTTAAATTCCTCCTATTGATACATGCCAAAAATTGAATTTGAATACATGCCAAAATTTGTTACAAGGATAAAAAATGACGATAATGACAATTTTATTATTTATTGTCATGACTTTTTGCTTGCTAAATTTTACATTTTTTTTAACACTTTTAGTTAATAAATTAGGGATGTCCAGCAAGGTAGTATCATCTGTCTTTAACCTAAAAGGGACTCTTATTTTATTAGCATGATGAGAGAGGCAAGAGAAATTTTTGAAACTATAATAAGAATGGTAGGTATATATTGCAACGTGATATCAAGGCAAATCTTAGAAAGGCACTAAAAAAGGTTGACCGCTTTCAGGAACCGTTAATTATATATTCATTGGAAGGCGCAAAGAAAATTGACCGCACTCCATATCTGCAACTTCATCCACAGCCAAAAGTGACCTCCTATTATAATTTAGAGTTATTATCGCTCTACCCCTTAAACTATATTAATACTATCAATTTATCCTTTAACATTATCTTTTAGTCACTTCATTCCTATAAGTAATTCAACTCAACATATTAAAAAATTTTGGACAAAAATACCCTTTTATTCTATAGCATTACTACACTGTTATTATTACTTTATTTCTTTAAATTATAGTGATATAATTTATTTAATACCTAACATTATTTTCTTGATATTTTACTTCATCGTTAATCTAACTACTATGGTAAAATATGTTTTAATATATTTACCCTTATATATATATAATTAAAAATAAAAAATTTAGAATGATTATTCTTCTTCTTTTTTCACTTTAAGAGATCCAAAAATATAAAAATTAAAGAATTTTCTCAAATTTCTTTTGTCACACTTATTAATACTATAAAAAGAAAGAGAGATAGGAAAGAAGGAGACAGAAAATTAAATTTTTCAAAGAAAAAAAAAGTCTAACATTGTCGTATTAATTTAAGGTTGTTGGAATTAGAATTGAAATTTGGTGATAAATAGTAAAGTGAAATAATTTTAAAATAATAATAGTATTTAATTCTTCTTATTTGTATTTTCTAAAAAAAGAATTGAACTCTCTCTCTCTCTCTATCTCTCTCTCCTCCTCTCCTTCCCCTTCTGATCTTTTTATTTTTTTAATATTAATAAGATTGCCAAGAAGAAAGAAATTAATACTTTGACTTTTTTTCTTAATACTAAAGAGGAGAAGAGCCACTCTAAGTGTTTTATTATTTTTATTATACAAACAGAAGGGTACTTTCTTCTAAAGTTTTCTAACTTGCTAAATTGGTTTAACGGTGGGATAAATTACCTAAAAAATAACTCTATAGGGTAAATTGATAACGAGAATATAGTTTATGGGGGTAAAATGATAATAAGTTTAAGGGCTAAACTTGTTTTTTTACTTTAATTAACAAACTCTGTTAAGTTTGGCCGTTAGTTTTGAGATAAAGTGACAAAAGATAACGTTAAGGGGAAATTAATAGTGACACCGGACGTTAAGGTGATACAGTGATAATAACCCTTGCGAGCCGTCGTTGCTTGCATATAAATTCACCACCCAACCAACCAACCAACCAAAATCATAAATTTGCATGTAAATTCAGCTACGGAGAGAAATCGGCGAAACCGGACACGAAACTGATCTTCCTCTCCTTTCTTCTTCCTAACCTCCTAAATCTAACCATTTGCCAACAACGGCAACAACTACTTGTGCTATCTTTTCATTGATTTTGGGTGGTCGTATCGTATTTAGGACGAAGCGTTGTTAATACCAAAACTTTCAGTCACGGCTTTTATCGAACACCTCGGCTACAGTCTTCTTCGCCATCTAAAGCAGCGTCGGATTGAGAATAATAAGAAGTCAACGGTGGAGGGGGACAAGTGCAGGATCCCGTCCCCTCACGGTGGAAGGGGTGCTTTACCTTCTGAAGGCGGTTGCCCCTCTGATCTCCTCTTTCTAGCTGGCGGCGGCGGCGCTGGTTACCACCTTTTCTAATTTTCCTCGTTAACCCAACCCAACATTTTCCCCCCTCCCCGCTTAATTGTCAAATACTGCACTAAAACAAGAAAATATGCTGACCATAAAGAAGGTTCCCACGGTGGTTTCCAACTACCAAGAAGATGGCGATGATAACAACAATGCGGCTGGCATTAGGACCGAAGACGCCACCCAAAGCCAAGCCAGAGGCTGTGCTCGTAATTGTCTTGGCAAATGCTGCTTACCTGGTATATATGCGTTTCTTTATCATTTCATTTTCATTTTTCTACTTACCTTTTTTTAATAATGTCATTTTTCCCTGATTACGGTTTGTGCATGTTGTTTTCAAACGGATGTAATGGATTTGGTTCAATATTCTGTAAAGCCTGTATTACTTTCATACTTTGAAAGTCAAGCCTTTCTTTTGTTTTATTTTATGTCTGTTCTTTTATATTTGGAATCGCATATTCTTTCTTCTTCCCTTTCCTTCTACGACATTTGATTACTTGGCTAGGTGGATTTGACATTTAGCTCTCCAAAGCTTAAAATGGTTATAATCGTGTTATATTTTCCTGTTTTTTACTTTTAAAGTTACCAACAAATATGTTATCTTTACAATTGCATACCATATATTCAAGGTAACTTTGACATTTAGCCACACTTTACCTTTGGGATTAAAGAAAATAAGTGAATTTGGGGCCAAAAGCTCTATTTGATGATATCATACGTCGGTTTTCTTTGTTTTTCAGTTTCCAAGTTACCTTTGTATGCATTCAAGAAAAATGACTATCCTTCAAAGAACAATGCTGTCTTTCCTTCTGATGATGGCGTATCACCAATCTCGTTCTTGAACAACTTGTTGCTGGCCCAATGGGAAGATCGAATGAGGAGAGGGTTATTCCGGTATGATGTGACCTCATGTGAGACAAAGGTTATTCCTGGAAGATATGGTTTTATAGCCCAGCTGAATGAGGGGCGCCACCTGAAGAAACGGCCAACAGAATTTCGTATTGACCAGGTTCTTCAGCCTTTTGATGAGAACAAATTTAACTTTACCAAGGTGGGCCAGGAAGAAGTACTATTCAGATTTGAATCAAATGACGATGACAAGTCCCGTTTCTTTTCCAGCTATGCAGTTGATATTTGTTCGATTTCACCTAGTGTAGTTGCTATTAATGTAAGCACTGGCCTCTTGCATATGATTTGCTGAAATATAATGAGATGTATATCATTGACATTAAACAAATTTTCTTTCAGGTGAGTCCAATTGAATATGGGCATGTACTTCTCATACCTCGGGTGCTTGATTGCTTGCCTCAGAGGATTGACCATGAGAGCTTCTTGCTTGCTCTTTATTTTGCGAAAGAAGCTGCAGATCCTTTCTTAAGAGTTGGTTATAACAGTTTGGGTGCCTTTGCCACCATTAATCATCTTCACTTCCAGGTAAATGGTTGAAACCATTTTCAATGATAGTGATGCTGTAGATAGCTCCAAGGAGGCTTTTTTGGCTGATTAATTCCTAATCTTTAACAGGCATATTATCTGTCCGTGACTTTCCCAATTGAGAAAGCACCAACTCGCAGAATAATGGCCAGGAAGGGATTGCAGGGTGCTGATTTGGTGGTCTCTGAGCTATTGGATTATCCTGTTCGAGGTCTTGTATTTGAGGGTGGATGTGTACTGCGTGACTTATCTGATGCTGTTGCAAGTTCATGCATTTACCTCCAACAGAATAACGTTCCTTTTAATGTTCTAATTGCTGATTGTGGGAGGAAAATCTTTTTGCTCCCTCAGGTAAATTTGTCTACTCTCTAATGATTCGGTTGGCCATTTGACATAAATTGGCTTAATGTATTTGGCAGTTGTCATGGTTTTTATTTTTATGATTTATATTCTGTCTATATCACAGTACAAGGGTGTCTTTTAATAAATGCAGACTGAGTAAGTGAAAAAATTAGTATGCCTGTCCATTGCACTTAGGCCAATGTAAAGCCTTACTTAAACATTAACTTTGGGTATGTTTAAGAGAATTGATTTGGTACCTTACGTTGTAATACATGTGTACATTTGTTTTGAAAGAACTTTAGGCACAACCAAAATTTGTTGCCTTTCCAATTTTACCTCAAATGAAAAGTCTCTATGCCTAGAAGGAGACCCCTCTTGGAACAGTCTTAGGTAATAATTGACTCTGGTTTTTTGATGGGTTTGAAATTTTGTTAAAACTCATTTTGGAAGAATCTTCTCTGCACTTATGAATAGTTCTTGGATATTGTGACACAAAATAGTGATTGTGGCTAGTCTTTGTTCTAATTTGAGTAGTAAATACATGGGAGTTCTGCGGGAGGTGAATCTTCAATAAGTTCTTTGCCTAGAGTTGTTATTATTGTTTGAAATACTAGTCTCTGCTTGGAGCCTAACTTGAGCTTTGTCTTTCCCTGGATGAATATGTACAGTGTTATGCAGAGAAACAAGCACTTGGAGAAGTAAGCCTCGAGGTCCTGGAAACTCAAGTCAATCCTGCTGTTTGGGAAATAAGTGGACATATGGTACTCAAGAGGAGAAAGGATTACGATGATGCCTCAGAGGACTATGCATGGAAACTTCTTTCTGAAGTGTCCCTGTCAGGGGTGAGGTTTGAAAGTGTGAAGGCATGTGTTTCCGAAGCAGCTGGCTTGCAGGTGGAAGTGGATACATACAACATCGAC